TATCAAAGCAAAACTTCTTTCAGAAAATTGAAAATACATATATTTAGTCATCTCAGGCATTTGAAAGAGGCAATGTGAAGGAATATGGGAATGGAAAAGAGGAGAAAAAAGAAGAATTTCACAAACTCTAGAAATGCTTTGACCTCTTTTATAAGTTGAGAAGAAAGAGGGACCTGCGATCATTTTTCAGATGGCTAGTTTAGAAACACTGAATGGATAGTTACTCCTTGGCATATTGGGGCAGAGGTTCCAAGCTCAAAGAGCAGGCAGGTAGCAGACATGATGAGGCTGGCCAGGGGAAGGGATAACCTGGCAACTCTGACTCACTTTAAGTCAGTACCTACACTTGCCTCCACTCAACACTTTCCAGGTAGGCACCTGGACCCCATTGTGCCCTTGCTTTCAGAATTGTTTCAGTTTTCCATTCCTGCCTGAGAAATTGCCATATATGTCATTGGTTAAAATGCTCATTTCATTATCTCACAGTTTTCACCAGGTCAACAACCTTGCCAGGCCGGGTTCTCCCTCTAGGGTCTTGCAAGGCAGAAATCAAGGTATTGGCATGGTTCCTTACTGGAGGCCCTGAGGAAGAATCTTCTTCCCAGCTTATTCAGGATGTTGGCAAAATTAATGTTGGCAAAACTCATGTTTTCCATGTGACCTCTGCATCTTCAAGCCAGCAAAGATACATTTAATCCTTCTCATGCTTCAAATGTCTCTGATTTCCTCATCCTCTCTCAGCCAAGAGAAAGCTCTGCTTTTAAGGGCTTTTGTGATTACACTGGGCCCACCTGGATAAGCCAGGGTTATCTCCCTGTTCCATGATCACCTAATTAGCAATCCTAATTATACCCGCAAAGTCATTCTTGCCATTTAAGGAGACATCTTCAAAGGTGAGACATGAAGGGCAAAGATCAGAAAGAATAACATTCTGCCAACCACAAGAAGATACTGGACATTTACACTTTATGTAACATTTCTTAATTTTTAATTATTGGCTACTAATTCAAAATTTGTTTTACCATTTTGTTATCTAGAGGGTCTACTCATTGCATCTAGACATACTTCGCAAGTGCAACCTCTGCTTCAAAATAACATTGACACCAGTTGAATCCTAAACAAAAATGCCAATTTGGGTACTGAAATCACATGTCAGTGCTTGGGCTCAGGGGTTTGTATTATCTCAGGAGCATAACACCATAAAGGTGTCAGCACTTCACTGTCCAGAGCAGAGCAGTGGGGGCTGCTGCTCCATAGAGTCATTCAGGGCCCCAGGCTCTTTTTTTTCCTCTTTTCATTTTGTGGGTCTAGTCATGTTCTCAGGCCTTATCCTTCTGTGATCAGACAATGGATGGGGCAGAGAGAGTGTGAAGACAGCAGGTCTGACCTAACTCCTCCAGCCAAGAGATGTCACTCATCATCTCTGCTTACATTCCACTGGGGAGAACTAGTTATGAGACTTCAGTGAGTGTCAGGGAAGTGTGATCTGGCCACATACTCCAGAGGAGGGAAATATAGATATCGGGGCATTAGAAGAGTCTGCACAAAGATGAGCAAGTGATCCAAAATGTGCTTGTGTTATTTTAAGTGTGTGTGTGTGTGTGTGTGTTAGATGCATGGTTTAAAATCCTCTTAAAAATACTGGACTATGGGAAATGCATCTGTGGATTTCAAAATTCACTTTGTTAGTCTTTGAATTAAGAGACATATGGGCAAATATTCTTATCCACAAAAGCTTTCTGGGTTTCTGTAAAACATAACTTGATTAACAAAATGATTGATTTAAACATAACTCCCCAAAAGCTTAACCCAGCGCCTAGCTATTGACACATTCTTATTCTCCTGTTCTGTCTTTGAACGGGAAATTAAAGCTATTTGTGAGAAGGAAGATGTGTTAAGGGAATAGACTTTATTTCCCAGCCTGCCTTACAGATATGTTTAAATATGTGGCTGAGATCTGGCCAAGGATATAGAAGTCAACTTGTTTTATGGAACTTCTGGTAAAGTTTTGTAAAATCGGTGACTCAGCTGGAAGATGCAGATATGATTATTAGAGTAACTTTCCTTGATTATGTAACCATCAGATATTTGATTAATCCTCTATTCTGGTGTTTATGATGTTTCGAAATTTTTATCGTTGCAGTTATAAGGAAGCACTGCACATAGCCTCTCCACACAAATATACACATATCTTTATTTTTTAAACATAATTCTAAGAAAACAAAATTATTTGGTTAAAAGCCAAGCGCTATTGTAAGTACACAAAGTTTCCAAACTCCCTGAAATTTGCATTTCCAACAGGAAGATTTGAAATGCACTTTTACATTTTGCAAAGTTATTGGCAACCTAGTTAGCGTAAGTTCATATCTAGTTTTTTGTTTGTTTGTCTGTTAAGACAGGGTCTTGTTATGTCATCCAGGCTGGAGTGCAGTGGCACAATCACGGCTCACTGCAGCCTTGAACTCCTGGGCTCAAGTGATCCTCCCACCTCAGTCACCCGAGTAGGTGGGACTACAGGCGTATGCCTCCATGCCTGGCTAATTTTTTGGTATTTTTTGTAGAGATGGGATTTTGTCATCTTCCCCTAGGCTGGTCTCGAACCCCTGGGCTTAAGCAATCCACCTACTTAAGCTTCCCAAACTGCTGGAATTGCAGGGATGCACCACCACACCTGGGCAATGTCTAGTTACTGCTTTCATTTAAATCAATTACTAGGGAGTTTGAACTTTTAAAAATGTGTCCTTTGGCCATTTGTGGGGTTCATGCTTTATAGATGCCCGTTCCATATACTTTGTAATTTCTATTTCAGTGTTTTTGAAGTTGCAGCTTGTGTTTTAAATTGTGGCGTTTATCTCTAATTGCATTCAGGGCCCCACCAACAATGCCTTGTGCATGATCATCACGACTGGTTAGCACAAGAGAGGAAACTAACGCTCAGAGAAATTAAATGTCTCACCTGACATTGTATATGAAGGAGTGAGGATTTGAACTTAAAACCCTAAATCCTGTGGTCTTTTTTTCAGAAGAATGTATTATGTTCCTCCTGCCTCTTCCCCCTGCAATATCCACCACAGGGAAGTGTTTTGTCAGCTGGTGAGAGGGAAGGAACAGAAAATAAAATCAATCCTTGGTCATGTCCACACGATGTAGAGGTTGGGAATGTTCAGGAAGGTCATACAGCGGTTCCACTGACTAAGGGACAGGAAACATCTTCAGTCCTTGCTGTCCTCTATGACCTGAGCAAGCTCCAGCCTCTTGGAGCCTCGCTTACCTTATTTTCAAATGGAAGTAATTATACCCTTCCTGATTATCTCCCCAAGTTCCAATCAGATAATGGAATAGGGAGAGTAGTATAAATAATAATCAAAAAACTATGATGGTGCTGTTTTACAATTAGGGGTCATTGTTAGAAAGAGGAGGGTGTCCTTAATGTTCTAGCAAATGAGATAATGCATACGAAATGGTTTTCAAATTGTGAACAGTTCAGTATAAATATACAAGATTGGGATTCAGTTATTCTGCTGGGTGACAGTGCTAAATGTCAAACTTCATGACCCCAGTGAGTCTGAAAATTTTGGCCAGGTGTGATGGCTCATGCTTGTAATCCCAGCACTTTGGGAGGCCGAGGTGGGTGCATCACCTGAGGTCAGTTGGAGAGCAGCCTGGCCAACATGGTAAAACCCTATCTCTATTAATAATTTAAAAATTAGCCAGTTGTGGTGGTTTGCTTCTGTATTCCCAGCTCCTGGGGAGGCTGAGGCAGGAGAATCGCTTGAACTCAGAAGTTGCACTGAGCCGAGATCGTGCCACTGCACTCCAGCCTGGGAGACAGAGCAAGACTCCATCTCAAAAAAAAAGAAAAAAAAAAAAAAAAAAAAAGAAGGAAAGAAAAGAAAATCTTAAATCTTAAAATCATTTACATCAAATACGCTCATCTTTAGAGACCAAATTTCTCCAAGAATTAAGTATCTGTGTGAACTGGAAACTCTTGGGAAGGTTCATTTCCGTTTGCATTAAAGGCCTTCCTCACTTCAGAGCACGTCTTTTTGAATAGCAGGAGGCCCCCACAATGATGCAGGAGCTCTGCATAACCTGTTGACTCACAAGGTAGAGACTTCTGAACCCCAGAAACTTCCCAAAGGGCAGGAGCAAGCGCACTGTCAAAGAGGAATCCCACAGGGGTCCATCCTGTGGTTTTAAAGACAAACATCCACCAAAAAGACCATTCAGTGTTGGATGTTACCTATCCAGCCTTGGGTGGGTCATGCTTCCCAAGATGTTGTAGGTGCGTTCCTCTTCTTCCAACCAGTCAGCCGTGCGGAAACACACCTGGATATGCAGCTCCAAAATCCCTAGTCGAGACGTGTTCCGTGCATTGTTCACTAGCAGAAATGAGGTGAAACTCATGTCTGCATTAGGTGGCAAAATGTGACCAAGAGGAATCTGCCCTCGGAGCTATTGTGCCCCTGACCTGCTCTATGTGTAAGTCTGTCCATGGCTTATTTCAAAGATACACAAAGTGTCATAGAGTATAGGGTTTCTCACCTAAAGACAAAGCAAGAATATTCCTTTTGGTGGCACAAAGTTAGCTCAGGGGATTCCCCAATATGTGCCATCAGGAAGAATGTTCAGAAAATACTTTGGGGGTGGATATGCAGAAATGTTACTGCTTTGGAGTTAAAAAGAGGGGCCAGGCCGGGCGCGGTGGCTCACACCTGTAATCCCAGCATTTTGGGAGACCAAGGCGGATGAATCACGAGGTCAGGAGATTGAGACCATCCTGGCCAACATGGAGAAACCCTGTCTCTACTAAAAATACAAAAATTAGCTGGGTGTGGTGGTGCGTGCCACCAGTCACCAGCTGCGCAGCAGACTTACCGAATTAGAACCTCAGGACCAGGCCTCTGTGGTATTTTAAGCTCCCGCCACCCACTGAGCTTCTGACAAATCCCTGGGTTTGAGCGCCTGTGGGCAAACGTGCGGAGGGGCAGAGAGATGCATAATGCAGACTCTGGCTTCAGAACTGGACTGCTTGAGTTGGAATCACGCATCCATTCTGTCTGCACTGTGTAATTTGGGGTAAGCTTCCTAAACTCTATGCTTCATTTTCCTCTGCTAAAAGAAAGAGCTAACACTAGTGTCCACCTTTGTGGGTTTTTGTGAGGATTAAAGAGCATATGTATATATATACTTGTAATTCCATATATAGAATACTTGTAATTCCATGTATTCCTGCTCTAGAATAAGCTCCTGTGTAGCTTTTTCTTATTTTATCTGATGAAATCTCCAGTGGCCAAACACACTGATCAGAAAGTGAAGCATCCGCTCCTCTTGCTATCTTTACTTTAACCACTGCCCCTAGACCACGGTCTGGGAATGGCAGGCATTCGATAATCAATTCATTATCTTAGTTAATGAATAATCAGTGATTAATGAAAATGCCTCATAAATTCTCTCATATTTATTGTCAAACTCTGCTTTTTTCCTTAAAGTTGCCAACCAGTCTGATTTTTCAAAAGAAGCCAAGTATCACAGTTTTTTGAAATAAAATCCCACAATGTTAAAATAGAAGTGGCAAAATAAATGTTTATATTTATAGGTGTGTAATTTATATTTGCAATTCCTTGAGATTCCTTGTTTGTGATTTGATGCTTTTTTGTTTTATTCCAAAGCAATGGGGCTGTAATATTTAATATAATTCTCTGTGCAGGAAACAAAAGTCATTCATTCACAAGATTCACTCAGTATCTGTAGCTTTCAAGCACAATTCTGAGAAGGATTCTGTATCCTCCAGGGAAGAGACCTTCATAGACTCGTCCATACCTGGGAAGCTTCCCCAGTTAGTCTCAGAAGGTTTGCCATGTTTCTACCACTCTCATCAGAAAAAAAAAAAAAAAAAAAAAAAAAGACTGACCCAGGTGATGATGGCCATCAATTTTCTCATATATTCAGCTTCCATATTAAAAACTCTCACACTTGCCACTCAAAATTATATGCTAATCCGTGAAGAAAAAGTAGGCACAGCAGGCCGAAGACTGCTATTGAAACTGCCATTGCAAAATTATAACTGAGACAGTGAAAGAAATCAGACCTAACCAAGTCCATCTTGCTTCTAGCCTCCAAGCTGTCCTTGTTCATTCCTAGGCACAGGCTGAACTAACTCTGGGAGGAACTTTTAGTTTATAGTATAAACCAAAGACAATAATAGCCCTTTCCCAAAACAAACCCCCTTCTTACCTGGGGCCTAGACTGCCTTTTTAGGGCTAACAAATTCGCCAAAAGATGAGAAGTTACGGTTTAGGAGTCACACAGCTAGAGGCTACAAGATTCTGACCCTACCCGAATTGCTCCTGGGGATAACATCACTATTGTAAAACCTAAGACCAGTGCTTGAGATATTTTGCAGACCCTGCACGTGAAGGATCAGCTGGCACCACTCAGGTCAATAAACTGGATCATCTGGTATTGTGACCCTGACCCAGGAACTGACTCAGCATAAGAGGACAGCTTCAACTCCCTATGATTTCATCTCTGACCAAACCAATCGGCATTCCCAACTCACTGACTTCCTCCCACCCACAAAATTTTCCTTAAAAACTCTGATCCATGAATGCTCAGGGAGACTGATTTGAGTAATAATAAAACTCCAGTCTCCCACACAGCCAGCTCTGTGTGAATTACTCTTTCTCTATTGGAATTCCCCTGTTTTGATAAATCAGCTCTGTCTAGGCGGCGGGCAAGGTGAACCCGTTGGGTACTTACACTATCCTTAGAAACAGCTGCTCGAGATGTTTCCCCATTGTCTGGCATCTGGTAACCTGGATTTTGGGTAGATACTCACATTCTCAAAACGGGTACAAAGGGGCTTATCTTGTCTAAACAACGTAGTCCTTGTGATAGAGACACTAGGCAGGGAAATTCCGGGAAGAAAAGGGCAGGTCTCTGGCAAGGGTCCCATCCTCAAGCCTGGAACTGTGGGCCACAGTCAGAAGATGATTCCTGTTTTCTTGCTTGAATGGTGCCTTTTCCAAAGCCACCTATGGCCCGCCCCACTCCCTATCCTGTTCCATAAAAACCCCGGGCTCCATCTGCAGACAGCGGAAGAGAAGAGGAGATGCAGCTGGATGTTGGAGACTACCATATGATGATGGAGAGAAGCAGCTTGACTTCAGAGGGATTGCTTGATGGCGTTGCTTCTGAACAGAGTCTGGGGGAAGAACACCTTCCCACTCCATCCCCTTTCCAGCTCTCCTTCCTGAGAGCCACTTTCATCAGCAATAAAATCCTCCCTGTTCACTACCCTTCAGTTCGTTCATGCAACCTGATTTTTCCTGGACACTGAATAAGAGCTTGGGTGCCATGGGTGTGGATGCTAAAGGCTGTCACAGTGACCCTCTGGCCTTGCTGATGGAGAGCAACCACTTCATGTGAAAAGGCAGAGGGTCCACTGAGCTGTTTAACACTTAAACCATCCATGTACACCAAGGCCAAAAAGAGCACTATAACACAGGCCCTCCGGGGCTTTGAGGGTGGCGGGTATCCCCCTAGATCCTGCTGCAGGCCCTGCATGAAGTTTTGATCCTACTGGTGCCCAAAAACACTCACCCCACCTCTTGCACCCACTCACCTGCGTGCTTCCTCCGATAAGGGGTTGAAACAATGGGTTTGAGTAAGTGAAGTGTGCCCCTGCCGTCACCAAAGTGGCCAGCTAGCTCCGGGGCCCACACTCCAGTTCCCATCCATGAAGCGGTCAGGGAAAATGTTCTGCTTCACTTGCTGAATTCTTGCTTTCCTTCTAGGAGTCTGGAATTTTGCTGCCTGCTGGGCAGAGGGTTCCTATGTAACTGGCTTCCAGTACAAGCCCTGGGCATTGAATTTCCAATGGAACGAGGGTAGATAATTTTTCAAGTGTGTAGTCATGATTTGAGGCTGGGGGAATGAAGAGTGTCTTGAGTGTCTTGTAGTCACAATTTGAGGCTGGAAGAATTAAAAGGCTGGATTTGAGGCTGGAGGAATTTACTACAAGGAGAGAAGACTCTTCGAAATTTTAGCCTGGTTTTCTCTGAACTTCACTACATGGGTCTTTTCCTCTTGCTGACTTTGCTTGTATCCATAATAAATCATAGCTAGTGGTAAAACTTATATGCTGAGTCCTGTGATGCCTCCTAGAAAATCACTAAACCTAAGAGTAGACTTGAGGACCTCTAACACAATATTCTTATTGCAGGAAGCCTGGGAGATGTAGATTATTTGTTTTTCTATTCCATGTTGCAGCGTTGGGTTTAAATATGGGGTACTATCAATATATATAGTGAATGAGTGGCTCACATTGATATAGGTCATAAAATCTGATTCTCTTTTGTTCTGGGTATTCAGTGAGACTGCATTTTCCATCCTCCAATGCAGTACTGTGGGCCTTGTGACTGGAGTTTGATGAATGAAGTTGGGTCGGGGGGTTCAAGTCTATTACTCCCAGATTTGGGCCATAATATCCTCCCATGTGATCAATCTGTGCTCCATCTGTACTCTTACCCATGCACTGGCCAGATGTGTAAGTCCTAGCTGAGGTCCGCCAGCATACAGGATGGTGGAACCATGTGATGGAAGGAACTTGGGTTTCTGAGCGACTATGTGGAGCAGAGTGATGGTTGCATCTCCCTTTCTAACCCACAGCTAATTAGATGCTACCTTAACCTTTTGGGTTAAGCCCCTGGGATCTGGGGATTTGTCTATCCCTGTATTTCACATTTTCTTAACTAATTCAGAAAAGTCCTGGGTGAAAGATAGATACTCCCTAAGTGAACAATACAAATTCCATTTAATTAAAACTTCAATCCCTGAAGAAACAGGAAAACTCCATAAACCTTTAAAAAACAATTTCCATCACTTCTAAATTCAGTCTATTATACTTCAAAACAATGTACAGTGTGTAGTCTTTATAATGACACTGTGACATTTGTGATGATGTTAATGTTTCTGAATTGGGATTCACTAAAAAAAAAAAGCAGGTTCCAGAATGTAATTGGTTAGATAGTAAACAATGTTTCTAACCAAATTTTCTTCAAAAGCATTGTAAAAATCAAAAGCATATAAAAATCTATAAAGTACACCAAACTTCATTTATTACTTTCTCTATTAGGTATTGGACTGTTTGCATATTTAAAACTTTGCATGTCAGATAAAATAGTTTATTCTTTGTGGATCATTTGTTTTATTGTGTTAAGGTAATAAAGGGCAAAAAAATCTGACATTCACTCTAAAATGCTACTAGATACAAATATGTAAGAGTCTCAAATACAATGCTTCAAGGAATATAACCCATAGAACTGAGTTACTCTCCTCTTCAGCTACCAAGGAAGGCTGTTGTAATATCATCATAATTGGTTCTTTCCTGTGAATGAAATTTCTAATTGAATTATGCTCCCAATTCTTATCTAGATTTATTATCACATTTCAGAAACCAAAAGAAGTATCTTGAAAGATTGATAAATTCTTAAAAGAGCACCTATTAATTAAAACTGATGTCTTCAAGAATAGGATTATTTGCAATCTGGAAAATCACAAATCAGATTAGCTCTAACCTGCTTTGATTCTTTGTGGGTGTAGGGTGTAGGGAGAGGAAGTAGCATTAGGAATTTATTTTAATTCATATCCAGCCTTAGCACAGTCTAGTGGTTAAGATTTCAGCCTCTAGATTTGTAGGATTTAAGTATAAAACCTGACCTCTTACCTGCTCTGTGATCTTAGAGATTTAATTCACCTGTCTAAGACCCAGGTTTATCATCCATAATATGCTTACCTTCAGAGGGCTATTGAATAGTTTCAGCAAAATAAAATATCTAAAGTTCTAGGCAAAGTACTTAACATATATTAAAGGTTCAATATTGTCCTTTGCATTACTTCAAAAAGGACTGAATCTATATTTGAGTCTAAAAGCAAAATTTAAAAGCAAGCAGCTTCTGTATCATTTGTCAGGAGAAACGGTCATGGAACATTTTAACACCTTGTAAGATAAGTTGCTTGAACGCATCCTTCAACCCGGATGTGTTGAAAATTTACTGTGCTCCAGAGGTTGGAAG